GGTTCATGGGGTCACGAAGAGTCGGACACGACTTAACGACTAAACAACAACAACAAAGCTACCACTGGCATTAATATCCAACTACATTTGGTTTACTCCCCCAGCTTTGCTGCCTCCATCTCCCCCATCAGCATGTCACTCCTGGCTGGAAAAATACCATGAATCTCAGTGGTGTAGCTGAAAGAGGACAGTTCTGGCTGCAGGACTCTGGCTGCCAACTCTGAGCTCCTGTGCCCTCTTCTTACCCCCCATTCTCTCCCAACCCAAGCTGAATGAAGCTGAAAGAAAAAAAAAAGTTAAGAGTCACAGAGATGAGTCACAAGTAGTACTTTTACATGGAATTTATCTCCTCGTCCTTTCTTTTCTTTATGTTAACAACAACTGACTTTCAGATTCTGTCATGCTTTGTTTAGGAGGCAGTTGTTCTGGCGGGAAAGTTGGTCCTATCATTTCAGTGCTATACAAAATCAGTCCTGCAACAATCTGCAGTCACTCTTGGCTCTCTAGCATCTGGTCACATATGCACCCAGTTCTTTTTAGCTGACAGTGACCCTGAGTACAGTGAAAATGGAATAGGTGTTTATAACTTTCCCACAGGAAAGGGGGCTGCTGCTGTGAGAGAGCTGGAGTTTAAGGTGAGTGGGGATACAATGGCTGGCAGACCAAGATGGGTTTACCAGTTTAGACTAGACTAGACTAGACTAGACTAGACTAGACTAGACTAGACTAGACTAGACTAGGCATTTTTGAACTACTGAAGTTTTGTTAGTTCGAGGGGAGCATGAAATCCCCTGAAGTGGAGCTTGGCAAGTTCTGTAAAAGACAGCTGAAGAGGGATACCATGGGACAAGTCTATTAGATGCAAATTGTTTCTTGGAAGTGTGGAAGAGCAGGCTGCTTAGAAAAATTGCAGGCACTTGTGCTGCCTTCTTCCCCTCCTATCTGAGCCTTCTCCCCAGCATCAGCACAGCAGAGTTGCCAATACAGCTACAACTTTATTGTGGGAGGAGACAGGCCTTTTGGAAGCTCTGCAGCCACCAGCAAACAGAGTAAAGCAACTGAATAGAAGGAGGTGTTTTTCCTTCAAAGGGAGTGGATGGTCCAGAGGAAAAAGAAGAGGCTCAGCATGTATGACTTTGGGCCAGTCCCTCTGCCTCAGCCCAACTCACCTCACAGGGTTGTTCTTGTGGGGAAAATAGGAGGAGGAAGGAGTATTTGGTATGTTCGCTGCCTTGAGTTATTTATAA